ACCGCCTTATCTTTAAGCACAAGCCTTAGGAAAGTTGAGACTTCCCCTGCCGTAATGGCTCTGCGAGCCAACACGCCATTGGCTAGGGGTGGACGGAAGAGCGCAGCACCAACATGCCCATGTAACAGAAGACCAACCTTCTCAAAGGCACACTTGCACGTCTCAAACCATTCATGATCCGCAATTCCACGCAACGGAATCAGGATTGGTAGCAGCTGCGCGACCCTTCTGGCTGCCCTTGCGGTCTTACGCTGCTTAACCCGGATTACCACATAGCCATCGCGGCCTTCTCCATCCACGTCCACGTATGCCACTTTACGGAAGTCAGATTGTCTGGCACGTGCATACAAGCACAAGAGACAATATCCGGCAAAGGCTCGATCCCAATCCGATGTACCGTGTCCATGCAACAGGGAATGAAGGATACGAACTTGTGCCACAGTGAGCGGGGGTGCCTGTTGGAGGTCACCAAGGTTAGCCAACATACGCTCAGCCGCGCCAACACACTTGCGGCTTATTTTGCAAGGGATGTTTCTTACATCCATCACGAAGTAAGCAAAGCGCAGGGCGGACAAGAAGGAAGAGGCTTTGGACGGTGGGGCCTGCGAACCATCCAAGAATTGCATGTACCTCCAAAACATGTCATCAGTGAAAGGATCGAGATTTGCACCAACAATGGTATCAAACCACCTCAGGAACGTGAGGATGCTACCTGCTCTCTTGGAGGCTGTTCCTGCGGCCCTCGACCCAATGCATGCTTCCAGCGCCTGTGGATCGACTTCGCACTCAGGGTGCATCTTGCGGTTCCTCCGCATAATCACGATCCACTTATCAACCGCAAGCCTCACTGCTTTGCTTTGCTGGGCATCAACATCAACGTCGGAAAGGACTTTGAAAACAGATGACGCAAGGTCCCCAGGCACGACCGACTCCTGTTGCTCATCGAACGAAGTGAAAGGCTTGCACGGAAGCGACTGGGGGGTCCAGACTTCTGCTTCACGCATAGAAAGGGGTGGCATTTTAAGCTCCGAAGACACCGAGGACTCGCCAAAGATTGCACTCACAGCAGGCAGCTCCCAAGGCAACACAACATCAGACAGGCCCCTATCCGCTAACCGTACAAAGCTGTCGGCAAACACATCACCCACGGTACGCGCCATTTTTGCAGGAGGCTCGCTGACGGACGGTTTCTCAGACTCAGACACCTGTGAGTCTTCCCTAATGGCGTCATGGTCTGCAGACTGGCTCAACAAATCATCACGCGCACATGTCCGGCATGAGGTATGCCCAGAGCTGAGTTCAGACACTTCAGGGTTGACGTCGACCATAAAGTCTTCCGCCGCCGAAACAGGGGAGTTTTCATCACCCCAATCTAGGCCATCAACTTCTGCATCCAACGGCCTTGGCAACCGCAACAACGGCCCAGAGGACTGCACACCAGCCCCAAATGGGGGCAACTCAAAGGGAACGATAGGAAGGACTGGCGGCCCATCATCTTCACTGACATGACCGACCGAAAGATCATCCCCCTCTATATCCGGCAAACTATCTTCAGACATTGCACCACGAAGAGGTCGTTAACCAGGCAAAGACAGGAGCTGGCGATAACACGACTGCACCCAATGGGTAGCAGCACCAAAGCGGGTCCAATCAGACAGCGTGAGATACAGAAGAAAACGGGCCCCTTCACGCCGACTAACAAGGAGGCCACGGAAACTAGGCTCCACAATGTAGCTGAAAATATCAGGTGGTGCGTCCAAGCAGCGCTGAAGTGCAGGCACGTGAAAGTGCAAAGGTCGAATGCGCACGGGCACAAAGACAAAGGAGGGCACAGGCACCCGGAAATCGTCGGAAGACGATGTGGAGGCACTTGATGCAGACAGGTCCATCCACTTCCCGATCGCGGGAAGCTTGCACGAAACTAAAGTCTTAGCACCTCGTTAAGAGCCACTAGACTAGAACACGGCCTCCAGTCTCAAAATTTTTGGCACTGAGCTGCAGAGCCAGTGCTGCACACACATCTTCCTGCATATGCAATTGCAAATCGTCGTTGGCATTACCAAGCGTGACAAGCATCAGAAACATTTGGGCTTCAAACCAAGACCAAACGGCACACCGTTTTTCTTAGAGACAATTTGGCAGCAATCGATAAAACACCATTCGCTCGCGAACAGTAAGCTGTCGACAAAGCAAACGAGCTCCAGGCTCGACTTCCAATCTGTCAACATATGAGTCTGTCTCAATCGAAGCACCGTGTGCCGAGTACCATTCAGATACCTCAGCAAATGCTTAAGCTTGGCGAGGCTCTCCAACGTGGGTCCTTTCACATCACGACTGAGCTCCTTCACCGCGTAGGAACAATCAGGCCTTACGAATGCTAGCCAAAGCAATTTTCCAACTGCTGTGCGAAACTTCGAATGCTCCTCTTTGTCAAGCGGGGTGTCAGAATCTTGACAATGTTCGAGCTAGAGTTCATGCTATAAAGCTTCAGAATCTCTTCAATGTACTGTTGAGACATGAGGATGTCGATGGAATCTCCGTTATGGCGCAGTTTCCGTCCTAGGAAGGAATGCTCGCTCCCAGCTTCCAATCGTCCAGTGATCTTCACAAGAAGCTCTTTGTTGAGAGAATCAATGAAAGCTTTGGACTGTTCGGGGTCTCCTACAATCATCAACATACGCCAAAACATAGAGCTGTTTCGAGGAGTGACAATACAAGTTGCTATCGGACTTGCAGCGCCGGAATCCCAGTTTCTGCATGGTTTTAGCAAAATGTTCTTGCCACAATCGTGGACTTTGCTTGAGTCCATACATAGCCCTGTTGAGTTTCCACAGACAATTTCTCGTTGGATAGTACTCCGAAGGGGGAACGACGAAAATCTCTTCACCTGCGCCAATAGCGGCGCGAAGAAATGCGGTTGAGATATCTGCAAGGCTGATAGACCAACTGCGAGCTAAGGCCATGACAAGAAGCAATCTCATCGTCACAAGCGAAGGCGTGCTTGCAAACAATGAATCTGTGTCTAGCTTCGTCGCATCTTGGTAACAACCTTGAACGACCAATCTCATTCGCAATTCCGTGTCTGTCTTCCATCTTTTCACCCAACGAACTCCAATGGCATTGCTGATTTGCTCTTCTGTGCATTTTTCAATTGGGACCTCAGTGTACACGTTGAAATCCTTCATGGAGCCCATTTCGTGGTCCATTCCTTTCTTTTGGGCCAATTCAGGGTACTCACGCGTGTTGTCCCAAATGATAGGTTCTGTGAGCTTCAATTCAGTGCGATACTCTTCTTCATCGTAGTTGACATGAACTGGAACCTCAATGCCATCTTTGGTGATAGCTTTGTTTACTCCTACAGTAGCACCAATCAGCTGCATGACTGCAGCAATCTTCCTAGACTTTGGTGATGGTTCTGCTACAGGAGCCTCGGGGTCAATGCGAAGAGACTTAGCTGCTCTCTCGTCTTCCGCAGCTTCAGCGGGCCTTACAATTCCTGCAGAGGAAGACGCAGGTTGTTCAGCAATTGACGTGTCAGCTCTTCTCTCTGGCATGTCCTCAAGTTGCAATGGCTCTGTTTTGAGGTTATCGGCTCTGACAACTTCTTTGGGCTCTAAAGGTGGAGTCAATCCCGGAGGATCTCGGACCTTTCCTATTACAGTCAACGACTTAGGCAATACAAACTCGGTAGTGTGTTCGCCATCAGTCTTGGGCTTCCAAGGAAGAGCCTTGAGTCCATTGACAATGTCGGGCTGCCAATGCTGAGAAGGAGGAGTCCTTCTGACTGTCCTGACCTTAGTCACTCCTTCATCAGTGGCAACAATGATCTCATCTGCCTCAGTGTCTCTTCCTAGCCACAATTTGGCCACAATGCTGACTTCCAAGGAATGTCGGCTTTTCTGACCGCGTGACCACCAATCACTTTGGCATGAACAACCTCTGCAAACTGACACAGTCCACCTTCATAGTTTCGGTTCCATCGTCTGTAATAAGACGTACAGCCGTCAGAATGAACAAGGTATCTGTTCAATAGCCATTGCGCATGCTTCAATGCCCAGGGATACAACACATGATCTGAAGTGATCGAATGTTCTTGTACCCCGCAATCGCCTAATCTTCAAGATCCCCTGAACTAAACAACAAAAGGGGGTAGAATGGTGAGGGGAGAAGAGGTCATCATATAGAAAATCTCTTCAATCAAATCCAATGCAATCGCACATGATGTTTTGGATCGCACAGCCTGTTGAAGCATTCCAATTCGAAACCACCATCTCCTATGGAGAAAGTTGGTCGTCAAAGGGATGAGCCGAGAAGGACACTGCATGTCCGTCCCCCGCAGGCTGTTAAAACATTCTTGGGGTGGGCTGGGTGGGACATCAAAACTAAAAGGCCTCCAAGGCCCTACCTAACTCCACCTTCCGTTTGCCCCAAAATGTTGCACGAACATCGACTGTACACAGGTTTTATCAAAATTGCAATCAATCCACCAATAGCTCTCCAAACTGAAATTTTCATGTGAAATCCGATCTCAAAACAACATGTTCGCATGCAGAACTGACATGACTGAAGAACTGAAAGCAGGCCACATGTGAATCCTCGATCCAAAACCCGAACTTGGGTGGCGACCAAGCTGAAGAGAATCCACCGCCACCCAACCTCACCCCTCCCCCCTCCCAGGCGAATAGGGGGAACAAACTGTTTGGTCCGTTTCACTACCCAAACAAGGCTTGTACCCCGCAATCGCCTAATCTTCAAGATCCCCTGAACTAAACAACAAAAGGGGGTAGAATGGTGAGGGGAGAAGAGGTCATCATATAGAAAATCTCTTCAATCAAATCCAATGCAATCGCACATGATGTTTTGGATCGCACAGCCTGTTGAAGCATTCCAATTCGAAACCACCATCTCCTATGGAGAAAGTTGGTCGTCAAAGGGATGAGCCGAGAAGGACACTGCATGTCCGTCCCCCATTCGAAGACGAGGTTCATCCCTAGGTCACATCACCCCCACACTGATTTCTCAAATCGAACGCTTCCTGACATGGGGCCCATTTGCGAATCAAGCTTGATGGCGTTCAAGTCCGCCCTAAAATTGCAGAACTCAAGCAGAGGCATCAGCACTGAAAGATCCACTTCAGACCAACTTACTGACAGGCGCCGTCCAGCACTGAAAGCATCGAAGCAATGTTTGGTTATCTGATCAGCCTCCACATTCGCATCCCGAGGACGCCAGCTAAGATGACAACGGATGCCAAGGTGATCACAGCGACCAACGTACTGCATGAGAATGAACATCAGGGGGACCTTGGTAGTTAAGAGTTTGATTGACAAAGCCTCCGTGGCCTTGTTGTCCGTGCCTCCTGAGAAACAAGACCTCAGGACCCCAGGACCCCCAAGCAGCTCCCCAAAGTCTCTTCCCAGGAGGTGTAGGGCCACCAGTGAAGCCAACAGCTCCGCCGAAGTGCTCGCCCAGGCGCTCCCCTCCTCATTGAACAACCAGGGAACGTCCTCCCTTCCGAGAATGATCTGAAACCAAGGGGCCGCGCTGGGCTCGCCACCCAAGTGCAAGAACCATCCACCAAGCACAACCGAGTTCTCATTACAAGCCGCGTCCGTCCTGAAAAGCTCGCCTAGGTCCTTTTCACCGACCCCGGCCGGATAGGTGCGACAACCAGCCTTCAAGCGACTCGAAATGAACTTCAGGGTGCACCTCACCAGGTTGGGCAACGATAGCACAGCCCCTTTTGGCACCACAGCAAGCCATGCGTAGCCAGGAGCCAAGAAAGGTCGGATCCAGATCAATATCTTTGACATAAAGCCCAGTCTACCATGCAGCTCGTGGTATCGGCGGACATCCACAAGCCAGTTGGCCTTTTCCAATCCATCAATGCAATCACTGATCCATCGACATCGCTTCTCCGAAATCCCGATGTGGAACCTGGTGTAGTCGATCCAGTATCCCACCCAATCCACGTGCAGGCCGCCTCTCCACTTATGATCAGAGAAAGGAGTGCCTTGCATGCTTAGCAGAGCCAGCATCATCCAGATGTTTATCCAGCGCTCCCGTCCTCCACTGACAACGTGGAGGTCGTCGGCATAAATGAGCATAAAGATGAAGGTATCCAGCAGAACGCGGAAGGCCAGCCTCCCTACGAGACCAATCAGCCGAGAGAACCAATAGGCTGCAGAGGCCACGCCAAAGGTTCCGGTCCGGTTTAACCAGACCACCGAGGAATCAGCCCTTGTCTTGCACCCCAGTACCCCCCAATGCTCTGGGTGGTGGAGGAACCTTCGGTGGGCCTTCGAAACGTCCCCGACGATGCCGAAGAACACCCTCTCCTCTGACGTGGCACCAAGCCTTTGCAAAGAAGCGACCTCTCGAGCACCGGGAGATTCCAGGCGGTCCCTCATGATCACATCGTTGTTGACTTGGACCCCATGGGTCCCATCATGAACCACACGGAAATCGTTGTCGGGTTTTGGAATAACCGCCTGAGCCGCCACCCTCAACGCATCCCCAGGGTAGCGCCGCCTCGCCTCCGACATGGAAAGCGGGAACATGCGCCCGGCCAACTCCTCCTTCTCGAAGGCGGCCTGAAGAGCCTTTTCGACTCCCGGACCGTCTCTGTAGTTCCTCATCTCGGGCTCCCACTCTGATTCATCATATTTCTGGTCTTTCATTCTTCGTCGATAAACCTGCGGCGTAGGTCCGATAGGCTCCAAATGCCCCACCTCTACTCCATTGCAGAAACAATACTTGCCCTCCTCAAGAATCCGAAAATCAGGATCCTCCAGAATCTGAAGAGTTTGTGCAATGGCCCTAAGGTAGAACGGTTGGTTCGGAATCATCTCCCGCGCGCGAACAGGATCCGGCAGCATTTGGAACCAATCCTCTCGCAGCGACTCCAATCCCTTCGGATCGAAGAGGGGGCCGGTCCACTTTCCCGTGGCCAGCTTGAAGGTAGCCCTAGCTAGGTCTGGAAAAGAATCCACCACAAACCTCCGCACCCAGGACCTCTCTCTCCGCAAAAGCATGAGCACTGTCCGAAAGCCTCCTGCCCCGATTCTCGGACCGCCATCTCCCTGGTGAGCACCTGCCAAACCCATCCACAAACTCATCCTTCAATCCAGCAAACTCACCAACCATCGGAGGCCCCTCGCAACCAGACTGCAGCTCACTGTAGGGGATATCCTCCACGGTGGTTTTGCTTAATGCACCACCTTTGCCCAGGGTCTCCTCTCCGGTGGTTTTGCTTAAAGCACCACCTTTGCCCAGGGTCTCGACCACTGCGTCCTCCGTCAAGCACTCCGGGCCCCTCTTTCGAAGTCCCGGGACCTCAAATCCCATATCTACCAGCTTCTTCCGATCCCCATCGGCCAGGAGACCATCCTGGGAAATCGAATAGGCCGCAAGCACCAGTCGCGTCCCAGTCCAGGACTCTGTTGAGTGCCAGTTATGAGGGTTGAAACATATTTTTCCCTGACCCCAAAGAAGGATCTCACCCCCCACAGGTTTTCCCCCAGCATTCCGGACGATCTGGCCGCCCTCAGTCTGAACCCACAAGCCTCCATCCATGAAGGAGGAACATGCCAGGAGAAGGTTGTCGTAACTCCCGTTCGTCGTGTCTTTGTGAAGGGGTTGACCAATGTCTCGAAAGAACGCCATCGAAGTGAAAGGCCTGCCAGTAAAGTTCGTAGTGATCAGTTTAGCCAAGAGCTCCGAGCTCAAAGGAAAAGAAGCCATATTGCGCCTCAATCCAGCCTTGCCATGATGACAGTAGGCCCCAGTTGTGAAAGATCTCTGACCCTTAATCACCACCGAGGATTCTCTAACCCTGTCTTCATCCGGCAGCAACTCAGACAATCTCAGGAGCTGAGATTCATAGGCCTGACCAGCCGACAACATATTTGCTGCCAGACCCTCTGCCCCTTCACCCCCCAACTGCTGTGAAGAGAGCAACACAGGATCAAAACGAAAGATGATTCCAGCCCCCGATGTGTCAACCTGGGGGATTGCAGCTGGCCTCCCCCCATCGAAGACGGAGAAGGCCCACTCGGAAATCTGTGCACACAGAGCAGCAGGATAAGCAGCAGCAGGCGTGGCCTTCCAGCCCCCAGCGGAAAGCTTGCCCAGCAGGGAATCATGGTCCTTATGCCCACAAAATCTCGGAAGAGGCCCCAAGTAACGCTCCTCAGAGTTGAATCGTGGTGGCCCCACGAAAGGCATCTGCTGACAGGCGGTAATGGAAGTCAAAAAGCGCGTGGGTTTCGGTGATGTAGCATGAAACCGACATTGGTAAATTGCAAAGGTAAAAACTCGTTCGTGGCTCATCAATCGCTGTGCCTCGGGCAACTGCCAGATTGACGCCGGCACATGTCCGCCCTTTGTCCGTCCCAAGTCCTCTGGATGTTCCAGCAGGAAATCAGCGCGGACCTCCAGAGCAGCCTCACAGATCCTGAAAGAGAAATGTACAAACTGGTTCCCTTGGTCGGCTTGCATTTGCAATTTGTTGGAGAGCCAAGGAAAACCTAAGGGGTAGAGACGGGAACGCAAAGGTTTTGGGCCCGGCTGTACGAAACGAACCCTGGAAAAAGTACTGCAGGGAGGCGTCACCAAGATCACATCCCACTGATTGGATCGAACCTCAGCCAAGCATCGCGTCGCGACCTCATCATCAAGCAGATCCATCGTCGGATCTCGACATATATCGAGCTCAGATAGCACCAAAGAAACCGAATGTTTTTCACAAAGGCCCTGCAAGTAATGCCGCACATCAGCTTTCCTGGGTTGCCCAGCAAACAGATACAGCACGCGCAGAACCGGTCGCAAACCATCGGTCGAATGCGAAGCCCTGGCGGGCTCGCCCCCGAGTCAGCTGCCGCCCTGAGCACCATGTTGGAAGGCGGGATGGTTGCCTTGGCAACCCTTGATTCGGCACGCATGCACTCGCTTGCATCCCTTGTTCTGGCAGCCCCGCTTGATGTTGAAAGCATAGCACAACTCCCGGCCATCAGGTGTCTTTGAAACCAGATCAAACCAGCTGTCGCCCACCTTGATCCGTCCATCTGTCTTGGAACCTGTCTTGCCGGAGCCCTTGCCGCGTCCCTTGTCACCTTTCTCCCCTTTGCGAGACCACTTCAAAGGAGGCAACTGAGCTTGCTCATCGTGGCCGGAACGCCTCGCAAGAGCCACTTGCGATGTAAAATGAAGTTCCTTGAGTTCAGTGTTGCGGGTTGCCTCGTGCAACGTGGTGGCTAAGGAGGATCCGGTTGATGGCCCATTTCCTCATCTCATATTCGTACTGCAGGAGCACACCCCAGGGAACGGGCAGAGTATGACGGTCCTGGCCTGCCGTGGAACTCGAGGGCATAGCAGAAGACACCTGCAGCGTGTAGCAACGGTCACCCAGCAGGTACTCCAAATACCGGTCAAAGTGGCTCAGCTCCAATCCCTGAAGGTAAGCCCGGCCCCGGCACTTGGCAGACAACATGACCCAAGTGGATGCTTCCAAGCGAATCTTTGCACGAAGATCCTCGGTGCCTTGAGGGAGTTTTCCCTTGGGCCTCTGACGGGTGACTCGGAGCCGACCTTGGTTATCCAACACCGTCTGCAGTTGCAACGAGTTCGCCTCCTTGCGGGAGATGACCTCATCCAAGTAGGAAGCAGTTGGCTCGCCATTTTCAATCTGCTCAAGCTTATGTGCCAAGTACTCCGCAGCGGGTTCCTCGGCCTCAGTGACGGCATATCCGCGTACAGTCTCCAAAGCCAAATGCATCGCGGCCCGATCTGAGGCCGCCAGGGGCTTCTGCATGCCCAAAACCTTGGCTTCGGCTTTGAGTTTGGCCTCCTCCTCACGGAGGAGGCGGGCAGCTTCCCAACTCGTCACCAAACAAGCGATCCTTGCCCGATCAGCCGCAGTGTCCGGCCGGATCCCAAAATCGGCCGAGATAGCTGTGCGCACCGCGGCGCGATCATCTGCAAAAACCGCAAAAGCACGGACATTCTTGTAGTGTTGTGCCACCGAATACTGCAAAGCTAAATCCACGCCATGCTCCTCCAGAAGATAAAGGAAATCGGAGTCCACATTGACTCGAAGATACTCCCTCTGTTGCTCCGGAGTGGGTGCAGCAGCCGCCATGATACGTGATCAAGATCAAATTAAGTTCAAAGGCACAAAACCTAAAAGAAACGAATCAAAACTTATCGCCTGACAGGTGAGAACTCCCCCAACCTCTGACAAGCTGAAAAGATGAGAGAATTCCTGACACTGACAACGGACATTTGAGCCTGCATCCACAGGCACCCGGCTGTCTGAAAGGCATCTGATGGCCGCCCAAACGGTTCAAGCTGACATTCTGACATGGAGAAACTGACAGGGCACATGCAGACCGCTGAAAGCCCATAAACTGAAAGAGCATGGAGCGTGACTCCCAAACCCCCAAATCCACAAATCCACCAGAACAACAGCTGAAAACCCGGAGTTTTCAGATGCAAGTCGGATCGCTTGCACAGAAGTCAATCCCAGTCCACCTCCATGGGCTGAGATCACAGCTAAGCCACACGTCAACTCTACTCATCATCCGGAGGATCCCAATCTCCGTGGAAGACGAATCTCCCGAGCTAGAAGACAAAGTATCAGCCCCCTGATCCCGATAGCAGAGCTTGCAAAAGCTATCCGCAACGCTCGGTGTGACCTCCCAGATGTCCTCAACCTGGAAACATGAGCTGGGGCATACCCAACATCCATCACGAATGTGCAGTCGACGATGTCGTGAGTGTCGGCTGACGCTGGCCCAAAAGGGAGATGGTTTTGATCCCACATCCGGATTCTCCACTGCAGTGACTGGGGGTTCTGGCACCAAACCAAAAGCCGAGTTATCCAGTAGAGGCCAGCGTTGATTCAGCACGGTGTGTCCATTGACCGAACGAAGGATCTTGAAAGGTCTGATCAAAGGATCGGGGTCCTCGCCACGACCCCTCAACCAAGCGGCCAGCTGATCAAAAAGCTCATCCTCATCGTACCCCGGCGCACCGCCAGACAAATGGGCGCAAACCAAACGCTGCACATCGTGAACAATCTGCCGGCAGGTGTGAATGTAATCAGCGCTCTGCTGCAGGCCCACGTGCCATCGACCAAGGTAGTCCCGACGCTCCTTCGGCTCCCCAAATGTGGCCGCCAAAGTGGGAAGGACGTGTCTCATGCTATGACCAGTCCAAAATAAATAACAGGCGCTCGGGACCAGCGTCGTACCACTGTTTTGCCACGTCTGATCCGTAACCTTGATCCGTCGGGGGACTTTTAGAAGAGACCAAACCGTCCGCAGGTATCCTGATATGATTTCGGGCCGAGCAAACTTGAGGACGGGTTCCTCCAAATCCGGACTGGCTGCTAAACCAAATACGTCCGGGTTCTGTAACCAAAAGAAAACCAGAGTTTCAAACCCACATCCAACCAATCCTGGCCCGAGAGGTTGGCGTCTCGACGTATGAAGAAAGGAACCTCAGTCAAGACACCCTTCAGCCCCGATGCATAGAGAAACAATCTGTTCACATCGATGCCCTGCAAGTCTGAGACCCTCATGCATGCCCAAACGCAGATCAAACACGCCCAGGCCAAGCAGCGTCCATATGTCGGGTTTTCCTGCGCACAAACGAAGATCTCCAAAGCAACGAGCATCGATACTGTCAGAGGTGGAGCCTGCTTATGCGAAGTTCTGCCTTCCTTCAGATCTGCCATATAACTCTTGGAGGCCGAAACGACCAATCGATCCTTCGAAAGTTGTGCAGGGGTAGGGACCTGACCAGCATCCTCCAGGACAGATAATGCAGCCATGAACTCATCGATGCAAGTCTTGGTCCCTACCTCCTGCTCCAAGAAGACCAAATAGTCCAAAACATCCCCAGCAATTTTCGGGAAAACGACGTTCTTAACATTCTGAAACCATTGTCGCGCCTTCTTCCAGCACCTGGCTCGATTCCTCAGAGTTTTGGAACGCCTAACACCCAAGGCACGGAACGCAAAATTTGCCCGCTGTTCTTCGGTGTCTGCTGGCACATCGCAAATTGGCAGCTTTGCTTCCAGCATGATTTGTACCAGAACCATGCCCCAAAACTTCTTTGCCACCTTCTCAGCTTCTGCCGGAGACCCAGTATTTCCAGACAACCAACGAATCTGTGATCTGCTGACCTTCTTCTGCAGCTCAATCGAACCACTCACTTGTTGCGAATATACGTCTGAAGCAGCAGGAGTATCACGGACGAAAGCTTCCACTTTCCGCGCCTTGCTCAAAATCTTTAGTTGCAGCCGTTTCAACATATCTGTCTGGCCTGAAATCCATGTCCAAAGGAGTTCACCCTCTCGTTCCAGGTCCGATTGATCCAGGCCCTCTGTCGCCTGTCCAATCAAAATTGCACAGTCATCCGCATCATCGACTGCACAAGCCACATGCCAGGGGGTTGCATAAAATTTTCTAATCAGTGGGACACAGCTGCAGCCACTCTCCTGTAAAGAAGACCACAATCGGTCCTCCATCCTGATCAAACAAACCCATCTTATGAAACCATTGCGCGAAGATGTCCCTCCAAGGGACGCCCCCCTGACATCAAAACTAAAAGGCCTCCAAGGCCCTACCTAACTCCACCTTCCGTTTGCCCCAAAATGTTGCACGAACATCGACTGTACACAGGTTTTATCAAAATTGCAATCAATCCACCAATAGCTCTCCAAACTGAAATTTTCATGTGAAATCCGATCTCAAAACAACATGTTCGCACGCAGGCTGAAAGTGAACTGACATGACTGAAGAACTGAAAGCAGGCCACATGTGAATCCTCGATCCAAAACCCGAACTTGGGTGGCGACCAAGCTGAAGAGAATCCACCGCCACCCAACCTCACCCCTCCCCCCTCCCAGGCGAATAGGGGGAACAAACTGTTTGGTCCGTTTCACTACCCAAACAAGGCAAGTTTTGTTCAACTTGGGCAATCAAAGTGCGAACTTGACCATACAATGTCCTTTGCATCTGACCTACCGAACCACTACTTTGTGGGTGTGATTTAGGTCCGGCACGAAGACTCAATCCACCTAGTTCAGCGCAGACTCTTTGGCAGACATTTTTCAATCGGGATTCTTGGTCATACTGCAGAATGCCGAAAGTTCTTCCGCACTCGTAGATGAATTTCTTCAATTCGGCTACTGCATAGTTGTTCTCACCTTTTGAGGGAACAATCACAGCCATGCCCAAACCAGTCTGAACATCACAAGCTGACAGGATCTTTCTCAATGGGAGTTCTGGATGTGTAGCTTGGAAGCAATAGTCAACCTGAATCACAGGCTGCCTATCTGACTGTTTCTTTGCAGGACCATGACGACCCTTTGACTTGACACAATGAGGACACCAATCTCTGAACGGCAAATGTGTCAATTCATGTTGGGCTCTTTCTGAGGCTGATGGTTCACCAGGAACCTTCAATCCTTTGGCAACTCTAGCGTGCTTGTCATCAGTGTCCTGAATGGGCCTTCCTACCTCAATCGGCACCGAAGCGAAAACAACAAAGCCTCTCCAGACATGATACAATCCTCGCCTAGGATCTTCCTTAGGTTCCGTTTCAACACCATCAGGATCAAGCATGGTGCACCACAGGTCTTCAATCTCTGAGCCGTTCAACTCAGGGAACTGCGGTTCCACAATGTATGTGTAACGCTCAGCAGTAAGCAAATCACCTAGGCTCTGTTCTGCAGTTGGGGAAGGCTCATCATCCGGGTGCACAGTATCTGTACGTTTCTGATGAACCATACGAACCCAGTAGTTTGGTAACTGAAGCCAATAGTCGGTGGTTCGCTCTTTGCTTGTGGCCGAATCGAGAGTGTGATAGAGCCGCACCAAATCTTCACGCATTTTCGCATTGAACTCGCCAATCGAGCGAAGTCTTCTGAGAATAGCAATCTCGCTATCTCCAAGCTGCGACTCTCCGCGAGACACTTGTTCCAATGTCGAAGGAACAAAACGAGTCGCGGGTTGCAGTTTCTCTGGCTGTTTCGAGACAATGCGAACTTTCTTTGATTCTTTCTCGGTCCCTCGGCTCGGAAATCTCTTGAGGATCCGGATGCTGCATTGTCTGGTGATTGGACGGGCACCACTGAGTTTGCATTGTATCCGGCTAGCGGACAGCTAGAAACCGGCGCGAAACGCACACGCGAACGCACGCGTCCGCAAGATGCATTGCCTTCTTCGCCCCGCCCGACCCACCCCATTGAGAGTGCTCCAATCTGCATCGCGATAGACCTGCTCGGTACCTGGCCTCAGCAACAGGCAATGAGCTACGAAGACGAGTCAGTCCGAACATAGCTCGTCTTGTTTTCACATTATGCCTGATCAGGAGACAGTTTGGATCATCAATCTCCCAATAATCCATGTTCTTTGTTGCTTTTCTTTTGGCTGCAACAGTTCTGGCGAATGCTGGTTTGGATCTTGCTCTAGCTTGTGCCATCGCAACCAATGAAGAAATCTTTGAAAGATGATCATACTCACAGTGGGTGGAATCAGTGATGCCTCTCAACTCAAGATCAATGGTCTCAAGATCAAGGTCATCCATGAGGCTACTGATTTCCAATTCAGTTCGGGGGCCTGAATAGGCTGAGTAGGGAATGACAGTAGGGGTGAGATACACCAATGTGCCTTGCCGAACGATAGGCACAGTTTGATTTGAAGGTGTCATCAATGCCATGAAATCCTTTGCCACGATTGTCCAAAAATCTTGAAGCAAGAATCTAGACACACTGACCAATGGGAAAGGAATGTGCTCGCAAACATAGAACTGAACGCACAATGAGTGGCCATTGCAGTCAAGTTCAACAATACGCTTCCCCAAGATGGACAACGTCTTGCCTGAGATGCTTCTAAGTGCCGGGCAATCACTGCCTACAGGATGCAGTGGATAGTCCGACGCGAACCAAGGTGGGCAATAAAAAATTAGCTGATGCACCGGAATCGAACAAAATCCAACTCCTGTCGACAATGCCTGACTGTATGTGGAAATCAGACAAGCGATCAATCCCAATGCCAGTTGGGTTCGGCACTAGCTCACTCTGACCTTCAATGCTTGACTCACTGCTACTGTCATCATGTGGAATGTGATTGCCAATCATTCTGTCGACAATCACATCATCTGCACTACGAGGATGTGGAGGAACAGAGGCTGACAGTGTTCCAATCAGCATCAAAGCTCCTACGAACAATCTACTTGCAAGGCTGGGTCTCACAGGCCTGAGGGCTGCAGTAGACCTTCTGGAGTTTTCAAGCAATGGATTGTTCGAAGCAAGTTGAGGAGTCAATGACTCTCTCTCTTCACTCCTCTCTGTGCTCCCAATGGTGACTGCTGCGGCAGTCTCTTGGGTCGCCAATGGTGGCGAGCCTGCGTTGGGCACCTCTCTGCTCAATGCGCTGCTAGTAGCAGCAAAAACCGGTTGCGCGCCTGAGTTCCAATCAGACCAATCCTCAGACCAGTCCTGAGAGGAGTCATACCAATCCTGACCGTACCAGGAATCATCGTCCCAATACGTCCAGTCTTCGTCACTGTACAAAGCGCTCTGCCAATCGTCATACCACCAGCTGGTGTCAACAACGTCTTCAGGCCAATTCTCTTCTTCTGTGCATTCATATCCTAGCTCTCCGCTCTCTGCAACCACTGACTGTCTGTTCTGAGGGCAATGCTTGCTCCAATGCGACTGCGAACCACAGATAAAACATCCTGTTCCTGAGTCGGGCCCTTTTCCAATCTTTCCTCCTTTTCCTTTTCCTTTTCCTTTTCCTGAGCCTTTGTGGAATCCTTTCTTTCCTTTGCCTTTCCAATTCTTTCCTTTGCCTTTTCCTTTGTATCCTTTGCTCTTTCCTTTGAATCCTTTGCCCTTTCCTTTGTAGCCTTTGAATCCTTTTCCTTTTCCTTTCAATGCACCTATGTTCATGGGAACTGGTCCTTCTGAAGAGTTTGGTGACCTCCAATTGGCTAAATGCCTGCTCTGGTAGTACTGTTTCACAATCTGTACAACATCGGAAAACGTGGTCAATGCATCAACGTTGAGACGCAAATGTTGCTGCAATGCACCTGAGGTTTTGTTGACCATCAGAGTGACCAATAGGTCATCATCAAGGAGCTTCCCTGTGGCTTTCTCACGCTTGTTCTTCAATGAAATAAACTCCGTCAAATCCGCTTCGAATGAGGCGTCTCGGAATCTGAAGTCCAGCAATCTACTCAACAAACTCACTCCTCTGGCTCTGTCAGGCAATGCAAAACGTTCGTACAATTGCCTCCAGGTCTCAAAACCATTTCCGCCTTCGTTCAATCTCACGACCAATCTGGCCGGGCCATCTGTGATCTGTGCAAGAAGATAATGCAATTGTCTACTGAAATCAACTAACCTTTGATTCGGACAGTTTGCTGCTTCGAAATCTTCCAAATGCTGGTCAATGCAGGGGTCATAAGTACCTTCCAGTCTGTCCATCAATGACTGGGCTACAGGTTTGTACAAGGAAACGTACGACTTCAATTGCCAGCTCCAATCTTCCCATTTCTCGGACTCACCGTGGAAAATCGGTGGAGGAAACAATTTGATTTCTCCTCCTAGACCTTGAAAGTTTCCAAATACTGCCATCACGAATCTAGACTTCTAGACAATCTTTCAGGAGCCCTTGGACTTCGTCCAGTGCTCCGCTAACATGAAATTTTGCAAAAGCGAAATCGTCTGTTCTATCAGGTGATCTCAGAACTGCTCAAACCAATCAAGCACAATCACAAGCACCAACTCTGCTGTGTGATGCAATCACTCGAGCTCAATGTTTTCCGACTTGAGCCAAAGTTGTTCGAGCAATCCTTTGTTGACCAATGTATCTCTGTGTGGATACAGTGGTGATCTGACCAATCATCCTAACACTTAAGCCCCCCTTAAGCCCCCCTTAAGCCCCCCCTTAAGCGCCCCCCTTTAAGCCCCCTTTAAAGCCCCTTCAAAGGGTCTTCTCGAGCAAAGGTGATGGGCCCATCAAGGATTTATCGGCGGCACTCGCACCCGAACAAATCCCAACGTTCTAGGAGAACGGCTCACGGCTCCTCAAACTTCCGACGCTGTCATTGCAGACCTTGTTGGTATCGAGGAGGACTGGGCCCGTCCTCGCAACAGAGCTGGATTTTCTAGGGGCGTGTAAATTCTGAGAGTGCAAGGTCTACCCGAGAGGCACAGACAAGCCCTTAAACAAACTTGAACATCAACGGGCCCTCTCAACCCGAAGGGCTCAACGAACATCTGGCGCACATCAATCCTGCCACGCTGCAACGACAACTCAAACAGGCTCTCTGCTGGACTATCGCGCACAGTTACAAAACCCAATCGACTTTGGTGCAGGTTAAGCAAGGCGGCGGTAACATTTTTATTAAAAATATCAGCAGGATTCAAGGTTCCTCTAATCCATTCCAGGCGTATCTCCCCCAAGGCCATCTTAGATCTTATCCACCAAAGGCATATTTCAACGTGCCTGGACC